AGAGCTATCCTCTGCTTGACTGTCTTTGAGTTCTCAGGTCTGGGGATTTTGCCTATCTCCCCCAGAACAAAGCTCCCTTTAGTGTTTAGGAAAGTTTGTGGTCAGACTAGAGTGAGAACACTAAAACGGCAATTGGAATGGGATTGAACTTAATGCAGAAGCTGCAGATCCGATATTTCTACAACCATAGAGGATGAATTGAAATCAACCTTTTTTTTGGGGGGGGAGGGGACTGCGCCATCATGTTTATTAGAAGGTTGGATTTCAGTGTGTGCTCTAGACAGATTACAGAATAAATACCTGTGCCTTGAGCACAGGAAGTCCACGATTCATACAAAGTGCTCACTACAGGAAGTTGCTGTGTCAAAATCCAGACAAGGACCCAACTCCGGGCAGCCCCTCCTCCCTGCTGACCTCAACAAGGGCTGTGCTATTGTTTTTTATTTTATTATTTCTTTTATTTCTCTTTATTATTAATAATATTATTATTATTTGCTTTTGCTGTGGTCACTATCATTGGCAAAGTTCCTTTCCCCTTTCCTGGACACAGGGTTCCTGTATTTAAAAGATTCCACTCTGAGGCTGAAGGTGCCAAAAGCTGCTTGAGAAGTGGCCTTTGAACTTTGTCTGGGACGATGGTGAGGAGAAGGAAGCAGGAGAAATCATTCTTGGTTTAACAAAATTGAAAACAAAAACAAAAACAAAAGTCCCACAATCTAAAGATCATTCCTTACTCAATCAGTGATCAAACTGCCCAAAAGAAAAACATGAGAAACAAGCCAGAGGCCCTGGGCTTTCCTCCTGGGTGGGTAAGAAGGGTGGGACCCCTGAGCTTTCAGGGAAGCTGAGGCTCCTTCCAGCCACTCAAAACATAGAGTATTGAGGACTGGGCAATCAGGAATATTTAAAATGCTAATAAGTTTCTTGTCCTTAAAAATGTTTTTAAGAAGAGTTGCCAGTGGGTTTGGTTTACTCAGCCTATTTTGTGAATTCAAAGGGACACTTAGGAGGACAGCATGGGTGTCCTCCATCATATTGTTGTGTTGAAAGGAGATGGCCCTTGAGCCAGAATGCCTAGATCCCAGCTCTGCCTCTTATCCATTATATGAACTTAGGCCAGGCACTGAGTTTTCAAAACTCAGTTTCCTCTTCTGAAAAATAAGGATAAGAATACCTTAGAGACTCGTTGTTGTAAGGATTAAGTAAAATAATGCATGTGAAGTTGTTAGCATAAGCTCTGCTCATGGCATTATGCAATACACATCATTAAAACTCTTCCAAAATTCCCTTGCAGCAGGAAGCAAGTAGTACTGGATACTTTTGGCCTTCACCTGGTAATGGCAAGAGCACGGCCTTACACTTCCACACTTCCTTTTTCTTAGTTCCTTTGCTCTTAAGACTTGATCCTTCACCTCCCTCATATGGGTTTTATCTGAAACTTGAGGACTTTGCCTTGAGTTTGAGGAGAGGTAATGCATATGTTACTGGAAAGGGGGGTCCAATCCAGACCCCAAGAGAGAGTTCCTGGATCTTGCACAAGAAAGAACTTGAGGTGAATCTGTAAAATGAAAGCAAGTTTATTAAGACTGTAAAAGAATAAAAGAAGGACTACTCATTGGTTGAGCAGTGAGTGGCATGGGCTGCCTGACTGAGTGTACTTATACTTATTTCTTGATTACATGCTAAACAAGGGAGATGGATTATTCATGAGATGTTCAGGAAAGGGGCAGGCGATTCCCAGAACTAAGGGCTCCTCCTGCTTTTGGAACATATAGGGTAATTTCTGGATGTGGCCATGGAATTTGTAAACTGTCATTGTGCTAGTAGGAGTGTCTTTTTGCATGCTAATACATGATAATTAGCATATAATGAACAGCTAAGAAGGCCAGAGGTCACTTTCATTGCCATCTTGGTTTTGGTAGGTTTTGGACGGCTTCTTTATTTTATCCTGTTTTATCAGCAGTGTCTCTGTGACTTGTACTTTGTGCTGATTCCTATCTCATCCTGTGTCTAAGAATACCTGCCCTCCTGGGAATGCAGCCCAATGGGTCTCAGTCTTATTTCTTTATTTGACATCGAGTTTCACTCTTGTTGTGTAGGCTGGAGTGCAATGGTGTGATCTCGGCTCATTGCAAATGACCTCTGTTTCTTGGGTTCAAGTGCTTTTCCTGCCTCAGTCTACAGAGTAGCTGGAGGCATGCATCCCCACATCAGGCCAATTTTGTATTTTTAGTAGAGGTGGGATTTCACCATGTTGGCCAAGCTGGTCTTGAACCCCTGACGTCAGGTGATCCACCCATCTTGGCTTCCCAAAGTGCTGGGAGTACAGGTGTGAGTCACTGTGCCTGGCCAATCTCAGCCTTATTTTACCAGCTATTCTAGAAGGAGTCACTCTGGTTCAAATGCTTTTGATACACTGAAGAGTAACTTACTCTCTTTTCCCAAATTCTACTGAACAAACTTTTAAAAGAATGAAGGATGTTTCTAGAATGTAATCATAATTCATTATAGAAAATTGAAGTAGGATCCTGTAAGACTATCTGTGGGCTCTCGTGTGCATGTGTGTGTGTGTGTGTGTGTGTGTGTGTGTGCATGTGTTGTACAGGTAGTAATGGAGATGATGGTTGTGATGATGGAGAATGAAAATTGCAACTACTGTGTGCAGTACCTTGACTGCCATTACACCTTAATTTTGGAAAGGAGCTCCAGAGGCTTCTGTGCTCCCAGAGGAGAAATCCATAATCTACATTTATCATTATCATGGCTCTTTTGTGAACCCTGAACAATAAATGCACGAAGAATTCCTAAATGGATTTCTAATTGAAATGGCTTTTCAATAGGGGCTTTCTATTTGCTTCTAGTGTCCTCCAGGTTCTTGGCCTTCTTTTATAAATAAAGCATTTTAATGCTGTTTTTGAAAGCAGGATAACACCTATCAGGGCTGCAGCAGTTCAGTCGTGCAACGCATTTAATGCCCAGTCACGCAGTCTGAATCCAACCCGATGTCTGCTTGCCAGGCCATTAGCCCTGTCCCTGTGGTGTCTGTGTGGAGAAGGAAAGCCTTTTTTCTCCTAATTCTCACAGAAGTCCAGGGTGGGATAGTGCAATCCTCCCCATTTAGCCATCTGATGCTCTCCACTCTCTGAGGATACTGGACTGCTCCACCCTGCTGACCTCAAGCTTACATTGCAAGAAGCTGCAGCCCTGTTAAGACACTTTAAAACCCATACTCTTTTCCTTAACCTCGAAGGGAAGTATTTTAGTCCAAGATGCTGGAATGACTGATTCAAAACCTTTTAGTAACTTTCTTTGGAATGCTGATGAGTTTAAACCAGAATTAAACAAAACTAGAAAATATTTTTAAAGTAACGTTTAATGAATACACATTTACAAAAGCCATCATCCCTTGACATGGGGAAAGTGCACAAAAATAATATGAATGTATAAAAATTTTCCTAGAATACAGGAAACATATCAGCAGTAAAGAAATTCCGTTTACCTTTTTTAAATGTACAATAGTTTGGACCTGTTAAAAGGAATGCAGTCCACCCAAAGCACCTATTTTCATCTGTTGTAAACTCATTCTTTCTACCTTAAGTAAACTGGAGGAGTCAGCTGTGTTAATGTGGTCAAATTAATTTCATAGTTTGGGAGGAGGCAGGTTGTGGGAAGGACAGAAGGAGAACTTGGGCTTTCTTTGGTCAGCTGATGGGGCTTGGAGTTCTTGTGGTTGCGGCCAAAGGTCAGGTCTGGCAATGCAGCTGTTATGCCAAAACCACCAGGGTGTTCTTTTTAGCTTCAGGCTTTGTGGATGGCTTTTAAGTTCTCAAGTAGAGCATTTTTGCTAGGCTATAAAACTAAAGTTCATTTTTTTCTATAGGTCAGCATTTTACCTATGTATGGCATTTTCTATTTTTAGTGATATACTTTGGGCCAGGATACCCGTATTACTCCTTTAACAAAGAGGAGTGTGGTTAACTCCAAAGGCTTCTCTAGATGAGCCTGAATGGTACTTAATCAACCAATGCTCAAGTCAAAGAGCAGTATCCAGCCCCAGCACACCTGACTGTTTTGCAAAACATAGATGAGTAGTGACATTTTCCATCTTTTCCACTGATGCTGTAGAGTCAGCACCATATATACCATGATCCTACTCAACATCTTCCAGCTTTTTGTATCCTTGCTTGGGGTAGCAAGGATAAGTTGAAGAAGCATGTGTTCTGTGTACCTTTGCCATCAGTTATAAATAAATGCAAATTGAATTAAAAAAGACAATTTATAATGGTATGATGAAAGCAACACCCTCATCCAATGATAATGAAATTGATAAGGTCACTTTAGAAATGAATTGGCAATATATAGCAAATGCTAGTAAAAGTTGTTTAATTCTTTAATCCCAATTCTTGGCAAATATTCTGAGGAAATAATGAAAAATATGGAAAAAACATGATCAGTGCAAAGATATCTGAAATGTTATTTGTTTTAGTTAAAAACTGGATATAGCCTACATGTTTCATAAGGGAAGAGGTTTAAAAATGCATATTTGATGTGATATTATGTAGCCATTAAGAAAATATATCATGTAAGGCCAGATACATGCCTGTAATCCTAGTGCTTTGGGAGGCAGAGGCAGGCAGGCAGAGGCCAGGAGTTTGAGACCAGCCTGGCCAACATGGTGAAACTCCATATCCACTAAAAGTACAAAAATTAGCTGGACATAGTGGCACATGCCTATAGTCCCAACTACTTGGGAGGCTGATGCATGAGAATTTCTTGAACCTGGGAGAAGGAGGCTGTGGTGAGCCGAGATCGTGCTGCTACACTCCAGCCTGGGCAACAGAGCAAGATGGTCTCAAAAAAATAAAAAATAAAGAAAATAAAGTCTTTATTAAGTAGAAAAGGATATAAAATTGAATATATAATATAGATAGCATTATTTTCAAAAGGATTAATAGAAAAATATCCTAGATTGTTAATGATGTTTTAATATATTTTAATCATTTTTGTATAATGTCATGTATAATATGTTATGGCAAAAGTAAAAAAAATGGTCTTAGTACAACAGGCAGAAAAATGACAAACTCAATGCCTTTTAGTTATTTTGGTATGTGGGAAGATCATGCATAAGGCTCCTTTTAGCTCCATGCTTCAGCTAGGAAGGTTAATCCTCCTGAAGGTCACCTTGAAAGAGTACTATCAGCGCAGAAAAACAGTGAGAACCATACTAAATTTCAGGAAGGATTTGAGAAAGATCCAAGTTTTACATAATGACGACTCTTCACACCTTTCTGCCCTATGACTTTCCATAATTTTCGATCCTCTATGCATTGTTCAAATATATAGCTTTAGATTATTAATTTAATTTTACTGCTTACAATTATAATAGACTAAGACAGATATAGAGGCTACCTCTTTATACTAGACATTAATTTAATAGATGACAAATACTGAATAATATTTGGAATATGACATTTACAAAGCATATTATAATACCAAAATAATACTAAACCTAATATAGTGCAACTTTACAATATTTATTTGGCTTGCTATCTAAAATTCTGGTTCATTGAACTTTTTGTTCAAGGACTTTTATTAACCCTTCTTTGCTTACTCCACAATGCAAGGGGAATCCAAGTGGATATCACTTCATTTTTATTTGGTCTTTCCTATTCTTTGTAGAGGAAGAATTGTATGACAACTCTGCAGATTTGCCTGTATCCAAGACATGGTTACTTTTAATCAATTGTAAATTTTTGTTACATTATAAAATAGTTCCCCACAGTAAATATCTGTACTGATAAAAGCAAAGTCAAGGGGTCATTTCACTAGAATTCATCAGGTAATACATGTTTGCCTTTACTTCCAAAAAACAAACAAAAAAACTCATTTCCTTTTTAAATTTCATGTGGCCCACTTCTTCAGATATACCTAATAAAGTCTTTATCAGTGGTCACCACTGTGCTGTTTTTTTCTTTCACTTAACTTAGCCCTGGAGCCAGAGAAGGAAGTTGCATGTACTTCCACTGGATTTTGCAAGATATTAGGTCATGCATGTTGCCCATAGCAAGAAGCTTCTTAGTGTGAAACCGCAAAGCTAATCTCAGTCTCAGCCCCATGGCCGCCAGGAAAACAAGAGGCAGGGACCTGCCCTGATTCTTCACTAACCTGAGATAAAATGGTGTTCTCTTCTAGTGTATCAATTTTTCAAAGACAGGCAATGTTTCCCTCTGTGTTCATGAATCTCAGTCATTGTGTAAGAAAACAGCTTTACTAACAGCACCCATCATTCTTCTTTAAACATTCAAAACTATAGTTCAGAACTCCAGGTAAATTGAACTTTGCTTTAAATATCTGTTTTTCACATTCAGTGCTGATTTCTAGTGTTTTGAGTTCCTTTCCCAGCCCTGGCGGATCCTTGTAAGGGTGTTGTCTACACATGGCATGATTAGGACAAACTTGATCACCAGTACGATGCAAGGAATGATGAGCCCTAGCACGTAGGCCGCAGGAAGATACCATTTGAGATTGGAAGGGTTGAGGAATTTCTTCCCACCATATACCAGGGTGTGTGCTGTACACAAGATCAGGGTCAAATAACCTAGTTTGGACTGCAAGCAAGAAACAAAAGTATGTAAGTTTACATTATTTACATCTTAAAGTGAAACACTCTAAGCAAGCGATAGGTATTTGTCAATAACCACAAACATTTGAGACCTATAATGTTTAAGACACTTTGTTAAGTATTGAAAAAAGCACTAACCCTTCTTCAGGATGGTAAATGCTTCATTTAAAACAAGATTGTTGCTTACAAATGATATAGTTGCTTCATCTTAACCTAGTTGGATGGAAAAGTTTCCCAGGAGTAAACTCTTCTAAGTTAGAATAAATGATGTAGCTTGCCTTGGTTCCCAAAGGTGGAACTCTTATTTGTCATCTTTTTTGAGGTCCGAGATGAATAACACACAGTATGACCTCAAGAAGCACCATCTTAGTATATGTTACTGACTAAAAGCAGATCGTAGTTCATTTCTATCGCAATAAAGAGCAATAGCCAATCTTACTTGTTTCAGCCTACAGTCTAAAGCTTGATGTTTATTTCTGTCTTAATACCTTGAAGAAAAGTGTTAATGAGAACATGTTGATGGCATTCGGTCCCTGGGAGAAACTGCAAGACTTAAGATTCCAATAGTTCTATAAAATTCTAACCTAATTTTAAAGACTAATGGTCTATTCTATTATACTCATAATAAGCATGCATCAGAATCATCTTGAAGGCAGGTTAAATTTCTGGGCCACACGTTCAGAGTTTCTGATTCAGTAGACCTGGGCATGGCCTGGGGCTTTGTGTATCTAACAAGTTTCCAGGTGGTGCAGATGCTGCTGGTCCTGGTGCCATACTTGGGTCTACAAGAATGTGTTGTTACTAACTGCCTTTAAAGAGGGGTTGGTTGGTGGTTGATATGTGAAAGAAAACAATCTTCCCTCTTACAGAAGAGCATTAAATCCTCTGGTGTGATGACATCTATCAAATCTTGCTTTGAAGATTTTAAACTTTATCTCAACATCTGGTTTTCCATCCCAGTATGTCCATGTTGTAAGATTAATTTTTAGATAGGGAAATTTTGACTTGGGATTTCTTTTCACCTTGTATCTAGTATGTCTCCACACAAAAATTGTTAATAATTCTTGGTACTTTTCACCCTATTGTTTTAGCTGTGGATCTGGGGGCAGCCAGGAATCTTGGCAAGGAATGCTGTATTAATAAACCAAACCGTATGGATTCTGCCTTTTGTACCTGGGTTCAAAATTTTCTAATTTGAGTTTTTAAATGTGATTGCTAGGAAAGTGATGGAGCAAAATAAAAAATTAGAAATTATCTTAAAGTTCTTACCTGGACAAATCGAAATTCTCTCCAGTTGACTGCATTGCTAACGGATGGCAAAGAAGTGATTCCCAAGAGTACAAACAGAAAAAATCCAAGTATTCCCAAAGCTACATATGAATCATAAAGCCAGGCTGTGGAGGTACTAAATGGAGTCTCTTTCTTGAGTATTGCCTAAGAAAAATTATAAGCAATTACAAAAATACATTTTTACAAACCGTCCATACTTTGAAAGGGACTGAAAAATACCTCTGCATAAATTATTTGCTCAAACTGTATGACATTTCTTAAAAGTTATTTTAAAATAACTTTGGTGAAAAATACACTTAGAAATTACTTTTTTGGCAAAAAGAAGTAATTGGTTCTGTTTGAACTTGATTCTAAGAGTTGTGTAGAAAGTTTTAATTTTCCCTATAGATTCTAAAAGAAACTAAACACTTACTGAAACCTTCATTACCATCTGTATTTTGTTCCCCAAGCAAAACTTGATGTTCTCAAACAATTACTTCAGAATTCTGTTTTTCTCCTTTATATGTGGATTATTCACACTCTCAAAGTTGGGTTCTTTCATGTTTTTTATGTTATAATATAATACATCAGTCTTGCACCACAAGTTGAGAGGAATCAGACACTTGTAGTGTGACTCTTACCCAGGAAACTTACAAATATTTATTAGGGAAGTAATGTAGAGAAACTCATAGGAGTATCATCAATGACTGACTAATGTTTTCTGAGACTGAAGTAAGAGCTACCAAAACTAGCTATTTCTAACTAGAACTGATTTATAGCACTTCCTCTGGAAATGTCTTAAGACTCCTTCAGCTGATTCTAACTGAATCTTTTGATTATGCATAAGATAATATTTGATATTTTCTCAGAATTGTTTGGTTTTCTAGTTATTGAGGCCAACTTCCCCCAAGTCAAACATTAAGGGAATTATAAGCACTCTTTTGTGAATTTGGTTTCTTCACTGTGGCACATGTTTGAGTAGCCCCCTTATTTATAAGATGGTCAGTTTTGACTTCCGAAAGGAAGTAGCATGCAGAAGAGTAGAAGCTTGAAGACACATTAGGTAACAACTGACTGCCACCCAAAGGTATTCTGGCAAGTGTCATTAGGTTTCTTGAGCCATGAAATCTGTCAGTTTGCCAATATCCCCATGAGCTCTGGGAATACAGATCTGGACCCAAATGAACCTGGGAATTAAAATTTTATTCTTAATAGTTGTATGAGATCTCAACTGGACTCATTTAAAAAAACTGACATGACATTTCTAATTCTAGTTACTTTAAAAAAGAAGATGCTTAGAAGAGTGACTTTCTGTAATTATGAAATGGAATATGATGTAGCAATAGTCTCTGATTTCAGGAGTAGAGGAAAATACGTAAGAAGAGATTTACCTGGGTAGCAGTTAAGTTTCCCAGCCTCCATCGTACATAATATCGAATGGGAATCACAAGTGTGTAGAGGACATGAAGGAAGGCAAATCCCAGAGCTACCAAGCCAAGCTGCTTTCGGCAGAGCATCCAGTGGTCAAGCCAGTTTGGGAATCGACGGTATTTTGTGCCTCGGTACAGTTGTAGAATGGCAGCAATAACACCAGGGAGGTAAACCAAAGCAAGCAGTGTAAGTGCTGTTATTGGAAAGATACGATTTGGAATGGAAATAGCCATACGAAATGTATTATCTTTCTTTTCATAAACATAAGGGTAGATTACGTCTCTTACAACACAGTAGAAAAACAAGATGATGCACAGTGCTGCAGACAAATAGAAGGGGAACCTCCACATTGGAAACAGTTGCAGGGGGTACTTTTCAATTTCTTTAGCTGCCATGAGTGATCCTTGATCCAATGGAGTCAGTCCAAGAGCACGAACGATATCCATCACCGTTTGCTTGGCTTTGCTGTCATTTCCACACACAAACACCTGGTTTAAAAGCAATTAATTAATTCTGTATTTACTCCTTTTCTTTATTTCATAATTATTTCGAAAGGCTATGTCAGCACCATGCAGAATGATGACATGTAACAGTAAACCATTTTTAAAATAAGGATGTAGAATTAACATAGCTAACAAGATGCTTTAAACTTGTATATGGTGTCCTAGATGGATAAGTACCAGGGTTTTTAGTTGAGGATGGTTTTAGGCACATCACACTTATATAAGACCTGGTTCTCCACACTGTGAGTTGTTTGATCTTTCTTCTGTATTTGTGGTGCCACATCACTTATGAATGCTTCTAATCTCAGTGCATAAATAGAACCAGTTTCATACAAGGTAATGGAAGTAGGAAAAGATATCTGCCAAGCGTTAGTTTCTAGTACTGACAAGAAGCCTCCAGAGGCTGACACCATGGAGTTCCATCAAACTAAAAGCTGAGGGTGCAGACAGTGGGAGATGAATTGCAACAGTTGACCACCTAACTTGATCAAGCTCAAAAAATTTACTCACAACACGTTAGCAAAATGTAATATTTAGTGGATATTTTATCTGGGAACTATATTTTGGAGTCTTTGAGGCAAATGCCCATTAAATGATTCATTTTTTAAAGACTGAGTGTAAATTTGTTTAATCTTACCTGCCGACTTGCATCCAGTGCTCCTGACTGGAGAGCCCAGGCTGAGATGGTGTTAAATGCTTTTACCACGTGGGCTCCTGGCACCAACTGAGCAAGGTACTCTGCATTAGATTCTGGATATTGATTGATTTTGAGGTTGTTGCTGATGTCTACCAATATTTTTCCATTGAGAACCTCAGTTAATTCTGTGAGAAAATCATAATGTTCTCTGTGGATTGCTATGATTATGATGTCAGACTTCTTAGCTGCTTCTGAATAGCTCAAGACTTCTGCATCATTGGGCAGTAGGTTGGTCATCTGGGGATTCCGACTTCCAAAAACAACAAAATAACCACACTGGAGCATTTTCAATCCCAAAGATCTTCCAAAATCACCAGTTCCAAAAATACATACGGTCTCTTGCTTTTCTGAGGAATTCATAGTAAGAGGAAGTGCATCTATATAAGTTTTCTCCATAACTGAAAAATAATAACACAAATAGCCAGCAAAATATAAATGCTCTGTGCATGGAAAATTAGAGAGCTATATCCAGGAAGTAATGTAATTGGCCTGTCCTAATCTAATTATCTCAACTGTATTTCTTCCCAAATTTGGAAGGAGTAAAAATTGTCATATATATATCCCCCCAAATTTGGAAGGAGTAAAAATTGTCATATATATTCTCATATGTGTCTTATTTAACAAAATCATTGATGAAAAACTTCTGTTTGATAAAAGGATACAGGGCAAAATCTGACAAAAAAGGCACCAATAAATTATAGATTAATTTACTTGTTTAGTGATACAAAAACCTAAATAAAACATTAGTAAACAGAATCCAGAAGCTTGCTAATAGAAGGTATATGTTGATCATATGGGGATTATTATACAAATGTGAAGATCAGTTCTATAAATTCAATTTTAGAAACTTCATTAATTCAACTTTAAAGGTTAAAATTTAATTTTATATTAAAATATTTAAGGGAAAAGTCCTGTCATATGTGTCATATCTGTGTATGTTAGAAGGACATCTGTTAAAATTTAACATTTATTCTTGATTCATAGTAAAAGAGAAATACATAGATATTTCCTTAACATATAAAAATTATTGATCTTAACCTAAAATTCAGTATTATGCCTAAAAATAATTAGTAGAAACATTTTCAACAAAGTCAGAAGCCATACAAATATGTCTGCTATGATCACTTCAGTTATTTTTCTGGAAACTCTAACTAACATAACTAGATGAGATAAAGAAATCAGAGGTACATAAATTCAAAAGGGATTCCAGATGATCAAACTGTAGACTTTAAAAACTAGGAAAATCAACCAAAAAATTATCATATATACAAAAACAATTCAACACCTAGTCTGGGAACTCAATTAAAATCCATATTCTTCATATATTAAAAAAAACAGTAAGAAGATTAATCCATGAAAAGATCCTACTTATAGCCGCAACAGAATAAAGACAATATGTAACAAGATAGCAAGATATATGCAATGTCTATATGAAGAAATATTTTAAATGCTCTTAAGAATCAGGGAAGATAATTTATGTGAATGAAAATGTACAGCATGTTCTTGGATGACAAGGCTCATAAGATGTCAGTTTTCCCTAATTTAATCTATAAATTCTGAAAAATAGGTTAATAAATGGGTTGCTAGTCATATTAAACATTAAAATTTTTATAAAGCTAAAATAATTAAATAATGTGGTACTATTAAAGAAATAGATAAAGTTCTGGCTAGGCACAGTGGCTCATGCCTGTAATCCCAGCACTTTGGGAGGCCAAGGCAGGTGGATCACTTGGGGACAGGAGTTTGAAACCAGCCTGGCCAACATGGTGAAATCCTACTTCTACTAAAAATACAAAAAGTATCCAGGTGTGGTGACCCATACCTGTAATCCCAGCTACTCAGGAAGCCACCACACTCCAGCCTGGGTGACAGAGAGAGACTCTGTCTCAAAAAAAAAAAAAAAAAAAAAAAAAGAAAGGAAAAAAAGAAAGAAATAGACAAAGTTTAATGAATAAGTTAAAAAAGAATCCAGGCATAGACTCACAAACATATGATAAAAATAGCATCTCAGGTCAATGAGAAAACAGATTATTTAATAGCTAGTTATAATGACCCAACAGGTTCACCTGGCCTGCTACCTAGACTGAGATGATCTATTCACATGAAAGAACATTTCAGCTCTTTATGAGAGTCCTGAAAGTTTTTTCCTCTATTTTAATGTCATAGTCTCCAAGGTTATCAGAAACTTGCGTTTAAGAGCACCTGTCAAAGTTTTATAGCTGATTATAAAACTATCAAGACAACAATTGTCTGTGGATGACAAAAAAAAAAAAGTTTTAGGGAAGCCACAAAGACACAATTGACAAGGAAATCTGTTACCTCTGTGGCATACAAAAATTCAACAATTATTATTACTGATAACATATACTGAGACATATTAGAATTATAGAAATCTTATTCAATTTTGTACCACATACTAATAACATATTCATATCAATATAACCCAAAGAAAGTTAAACACCATTTTATATTTGACAATGTTTCTTGCATGATTTTAATACATTAAATAAGCCAAATATGTCTTTTTGAACTTTAGGAGACCTACTTTTTTTTTTTTAACTTAGAATTTGATCTTGGAAAGTTTGTCAAATATCAAAGGTTTAAAACACTGGATATCACAAAATAGAATCACATTTCACCATAAGTCATTCATTTACTCAAAATGATAACTCAGGGCCAGGCACGGTGGCACATGCCTGAAGTCCCAGCTACTTGAGGCTGAGGCATGAGAATTGCTTGAACCTGGGAGGTGGAGGTTGCAGTGAGCTGAGATTGCACTGCTATACTCCAGCCTGGACGATACAGCAAGACTCTGTCCCCCGCCCACAGAAAAAATAACTCAAAAATTTTTAAAAAAGGAAAAAACCTTTATTCTGATGGAAAGGATTTTTCTTTAAGCCAATTTATTAGAGTTCTTTTATATAGGCATCACACACACCACACATATAAATAAATAGGCAGACAGAAGATCTAGTAGTTGTAAGATTTTTTTCATTTGCTAGTTTTAAAGTTTCTTAAAACTTAAATTACTGACTTTAGGGTGGAGCCCTTCAGTGAATAGGACTGGGAAAGCATGTAGTTTCTAGGGCCTAATAAGTAGGGACAGGTGAAAGGCAAAAACAGATCCTCAAAATTAAGAGTTCCATTTTTATATTGCATCCTGAATTCCCCAAAACAGGGAAATGCTCTGGGAGTGCAATACTTTTACTATGCATTTCATTGCATGGCTACCCAAAGCAAATCAGTCCATTTTGTAATCAGCCCATTCCTCATGGGAGTCTCATTTCTCAGTGTTGGGGGTGGGGGATGGAATTTTTCATGTTTTCCATGGCCAAGAGCATGCTTCTCTGATTCAAGCATCCAAAGAGCCAAGGATCCCTCCATAACTGTTCTCATCCCTTAAAGTAAATTTCCTATCTAGTCATTATTCACCAAGGCTAAAAGCTCTCCCATAATGCAAAGTAATTTCTGCTACCCCCAAAAGTCAAAAAATGAAATGTCAGGTAACATAATATAAAACTGAACAGGGTCTTAGATTTTGAGAGAGGTCTATCCAATTTCAACTCCCAGGGTTCCATGAGGAAAACAGAGGGTTTTTAAAAATTAGTATTATTCCAGAATGGAAACTGTTAGAAATTATCTTATGTTCTCTTATGTGGGCATTAAGGATGGCAAGAGGGCAAAATGGAGAAGTATTTCAGTTGATCGAGAAGAAAAACAAATAGACAAAAAGTCTTTCTCAAAAACAACCAAGATCCAAGAAGAGAAAAAAACGTACAGGCCTCTTAAAAAAATTATGTGTGTGTGTATACAAATATATATATACACACACATAATTTATATATATATATATGTATATATGTATATATATATGTATAGCTTGGATATCTGTTTTTAATTAAGCTAATTTTAACCACAGAACTCTTTAAAATTTTTTTAAAAATCTCTTATTATCAGACTCTAGCCAGTAGAGACGGTCAATGATTCCGGTTAACCTCCCACATAAAATTAGTAAGATTTAATAAGATTAAGATTTCACTATAGATACATAAGGTGTCCCAAAGAGATGGTAAGCCCTTCCCTCCCTCCCTCCCTCCTTCCTTCCTACCTTCCTTCCTTCCTTCCTTCCGCTTTCTCTCTTTCTTTCTTTTCTGATTTAGAATTTTCCCAAAGGTAATTCAGAGAAAGGAAAATTCAAGACAGGAAATCAAAAGCTATCCATGGCAGGAAAAAGAATCAACAAATGGCAGAAAGTTATACAAATGACAAACCAGAAAGGACTCAATCCCTAAGCCAAGAATTAAACCCGGGCTGCCGCTGTCAAAAGACAAAGCACTGGCTACCAAGCTCCAGCATTGAGCAGGTAATGCTTTCCAGAAGAACCCTAAAGAAGCCAATTTCAAGTTTGCTAAGGCCTTTGACTGCTCAAGATAACTTTTAGGGCTATGACATGAACCCCAAAATCCTATCATCTGGCTAGCAAAGACCAAGAGAAAGTATCCCCACATGGTTACAAGGTTAAGCTATCAAGGACATAAAAGAAACAGAGAGAAACTCCATCCAGTATTGGTGTCAGAAACCCACAGCAAAGTTTGTAACTGACTAGCCTGAGGGGCTGGCTTGAAAAGCAGGCTTATAGGGGTCCTAAGCTCACGTTCTATCCTGTGACACCTCTCTCTCCAATACCGAACAACAGAGAAAGACAAATACTTAGTACAAAGTACATGAGATTTGCTACAGTCCAAGACTAGTCTTATAAATCCTTTTTTTTCTATTAATAAAGTCTTTGCAAAGGAGACAAACAGTGATGTTTACCATTTGAACACACACAAAAATGCTCAGAGAGAGAGAGAGAAGGAGAGAGAGAAGGGGGAGAGAGAGAGAGAGAGAGAGAAAGAGAGAGAGAGAGAGAGAGAAAGAGAGATGAGAGCGCAGAAATTGTCTGGTAAGAAATTCTTACCATTTTTGCTAACATACTAGGTTTCTGGGTTCCCTTCTAGCTTCCAGAAGAATGGAGTGGCTTTTCATGGCCTTGCTTGCTGTGCCTTAGCTGTGGGGTATCAAGCCACTTTGCAAAAGAAAATTACCCTTTTCAGCCAGGTGTGGTGGCTTACACCTGTAATCCCAGCTCTTTGAAGGGCTGAGGTAGGCAGATCATTTGAGGCCAGGAGTTCAAGACCAGCCTGACCAATATGGCAAAAGTCCATCTTTACTAAAAATACAAAAGTTAACTAGGTGTGGTGGCACATGTCTGTAGTGCCAGCTACTGGGGAGGCTGAGGCAGGAGAATTGCTTGAGCCTGGGAAGTGGAGGTCGCAGTGAGCCAAGATCATGGCATTGCACTCCAGCCTGGGTGACAGAGCAAGACTGCCTCATAAAAATAAAAATAAAGAAAC